TGTTATTCCTTTTTTTGGCCGGTATAAGAAAAAAAACTAAAATCAAGTACCAGACTCACATGCACAATTTCTCACAGAATAGATTAACAAAGTTAAGAGGTTCCTCTGCAGGAACCAGTTTTGATGGGGAAACAGCCATGCTCCATGAGATAAGGGAAGAACCTTCCCACCTTCCCTTCAGTTCTGAAGGTTTTGGCTTGCCTTAGCCGAGATCTTGAACAGAAAAGCAAGCTCCATGGTTAAACAAACCACAGGCACCAAAATGACTTCTCTCCGAGGGGAATAACTGTATCCTGCTAAACCATTCTAATCAGTAAAACACATTACACATGAAATTGAAGAAATATGTCATTTTAAGGAAAGTGGGCTTTTTTTTTTTTTAACTGAATGTGGGGATTTTTTCCTTAACACTGAACATCTGATCCAGTGAAACCATCCACACTTTCTAAGAAACAAAACATTTTAACTTTCAGTAAATACATAATAATTTGCCCATGTACATTGTCAGTGATTTCAAGTGGTACATCTGTAGTGCAGCCATGATATTCTTCAATTATACTCTCCTAATTCAACACAAAATTCACTGGCAGGAAAACTTAATCCAATAGTTAAAATCAGCATAAGAACATGACGGTCAAAAGGGCTAGTCTGTTGCTGTTACACCCTCATGCTACTTTTGGATGCACGTAAGAAAGAACAGACCCATTTTTAGAGTAAAAGTCTGTTTCATTTGTGCCAGCTCCTTCCTCCCTTCGTAATTTCCTTTATTTTCAGGACCCCAGATGGCCTCACAACAACTGGGTTTCATTTTACTGCACGTAGCACCAGGACAATCTGTAATTTTCTCCTCTTTTGATAATAAGTTAATTTTAGCAGATTGGATCTGTAAGTAGTCTGCATACAAGCAGATATAAGATAATTAAACAGAATTTCCCAAGATCTTATTTTACAATTAAACTAAAAACGGCCACTCTAATAATAAAAAAACAAACAAAAAGCTAAAGCAGCTGTTCTTCACAAATAAAAGCTCTTGCGATATGACAGATTTGAAAGTAGGATTAACATTGTCTTAAGATATCTATATCCTACACTGAAACCCAGACTTTTTTTTTCTGATGGAAATTAAGTCTTACTAGAAAAAGCAAACAATTCATAAAACCTTTAAGAAAGGTTTACTTGTAGACAAGAAAATCTGAGTATGTGCATTTTGAGTTTTCATCTTTATAAATACTGAACAAACCCAGTTACTGGTTTAACCTATGTAACAAACTTGGAGACTGAATACTCTTAATTTCTTACTTCTTGCACAAGAGAACTTCAAGAGACTTGGAATTAATGCAGTTTAGACATTTCACCCTGTAGCATTAACATGAAATCTAAATCTAAAAAGAGGTGGTTCCTGAAAACTGTTACTTGCAGTATATAGTCTCTCCCCTCAGAACTGCAAATCACTTACACTGTTTTCCCATGCAGTGTTGACTCAAGCTGAGAAACTGAAACTTTGCGGTGGAATAAAAGGGCAGGAACATCTACACCCAACACCTCTTGACCTGATCATCAAGACAATTCACCTCACTATCAAGTACCACTACTACTTTCTTAACAACTCTTAGTAGCTCATGGGTGCAGTACAATGACATTTATCTCTCAGGGTACCTGGGAGAATTATACTACTCCCGCTCCATCCATCACCAATTTTGTTTAAATAAAGAAAGGCAGCTACACGAGATGGCATATATAACCAATGTTTAAGGTGAGGATGTCCAGGAGCAATGGTATTGATGTCAATGAGAGGGACAATAACTTTGCTACTAGCACAGCAGACTGGCACCTTCTACAGCACTGCCCTCAAGGTTTCTCAGAACCTGCCCAAAACCACCAACACACCTGAAGGACAAACAACACCACACAGCCTACCTGCTCTCCCCAGTGGACCGTGGTAGAAAAAACAATTTTTACTTAAAACAATTCTGAAGACAAAACCTAACATTACAGGATACATGAAGACATATGAGAGTTTGGAGAACTTGCAAAAGGGCACAGAATAGACCAGTCAGTAGACATGGTGGGGGAGGAATTGCTTGTCACACCCTTCTTGTCTGCAGACACTAATTGCTTTCCAAAACCCCATTTAACTCATAACAGAGGTTGCAACATGCTTCTTCAAATTTCACTCATCATAAGCAACATTGTGCATGTACGTTTGGGGACACAAATGGGTTTTCATTTTATTTCCACTTAAAGGTATTAAATTTACACTCAAATTTCTAACACTAGGATCAGCAGAATTTATTTTATTCATCCATAATCAGCTTACTTATGAAGATTTCTGTTGGTTACATTTTGATTTTTGTAGTGTATGACCATGACATCTGCAGTAGGATTAAACAAACAATACTGTTTTCTCCCATCCAGACAGCTACCCATTTCCATTTTAGTGCTAGGAGGATTACAGGAGGAGAGGACAGTAGAAAGTAACTTACTTGAATTTTTTCATGGACTGTTATGGCTCTTTTCTTTGTTTGTTTGATTTTGGTTAGGGTTTGCGGGGGGGTGGGGGATTTTATGGGGTTTTCTTTGAGGTTGCATAGAAAAATGTGGTCATGGATGTAATACAAGCATAGCTGCAATCAGGTAATGCAAATATAAATGCAGACTGCAGTGTGCCTGAAGAATCTGGAAGTCTGCTAAACATGGTGTAAGATTTTTTTCAGAAAACATAAGCTGAAGTTTTTCAAAAATATTCTCCCTAGTTTTGAAGGTAGCTTTGGTCATCACAAACAGCAAAGAGATGAAAGAAATAATTTCTATTTTCTTAAAAGTGGGAACAAAACCATAGGAGGCCTGTTCTACCTACACCAGGACTTTTCCATGAAGTAAGCATGCTTAAAACAGTCTGGATTTGGAGTAGAACCTCTCGCACAGGAATTCACATGGGAAGATGGAAGCTCTACCACTTGTATCATCTCTGCTGAACCCATGCTTTCTTAGGCACCAGCCTGGAAAAAGAAAGCCTGGCTAAGCAGAGGCTCTTCTACCTACTCCACAGTTCCAAATGGTCTGACTGGAAGCCTGTGGGCCAGATCTAGCTTGCAGGATGATTGACCCTTCTTGCTGCTTTTTCTGCTGTGGCCTTGATCTGGAACAGAGGTGGGAAGGAAAGAGAAAGGACAAGCCAACAAATGCTACATAACTTTTAGCTATATAACCAGAAAGAAGGGGCTGTCACTACATCAATCAAGAAACTGACAAATGTTTCCCTGAACTGGCCTTCCATCCACAGCACTGAAAACCTGAGTTTTCCTATCGAGGATGCAGACTCTTATAATCCATTGTCAGTACACCAATGACAATATTCTCCATCAACAGTAAAAGGAAGGATGGGAGAGACACATGTGGAATTAATGTCCTGAACAGGAAGACTGAAAAGATGACAATTACCTGGACAAGCAAAATAACTAGGTAAACAAAACTCCTAACTGAGGAATTTCCTGCCTGCTTCCCTGTTCCCAAAGGAACCCAAGGTGGAACCACAGGATGGAAGAGTGAAAACCCCTGCAACCTCTGCTCCTCTGGCCACTCTGGACAGATTACATTCTATATCGTCATGGTTGGTTTGGTTTTGTTGTTTTTAAAGCTACTTATCTCTTATACATTTGTTTCCGAGTGTCTTTACCGTATAATATATTTTTGCACTAAGATGGTTGATAGCAGAGGTCATAAAATGAAGCTGGTAGGTACAGATTCAAGTCATCTTTAAGCTACAGAGCTCTTAACCCTGGGATGTTTTGAAGCCAAAAGTTTTCATGGCCTCAGAAAACTACCGGGCAAACTCATGAAATGACAAACCCACAGAGGGTAACTAACAGCTCCTGAGCAGAAAACTTCTGAAAGCTCTAAGTACATCTGGGTAAAATACCATTATATGCTTCTCCTGTTCTTATTACCTTCACACATACTTGCTTTTGGCCGCTAACAGGCATTTTGGGAGGGGGTTACAGCCTTGGTCTGACCTAGTACTGTTGTGTCTTTATGTTTATAAAGTAACAAGACAAAGTTTAATTGCACAAGCAAAACACTTTTAAGTACAGAGAAACTCAGCAATGAGGCTTTTCAAATCTGTTCCCTCAGCCAGCATTTTGAAATAGCTAAGAACATTTTAAGAGAAAAATAAGGTATCGCTATTTAACCAAAGTAAAGATTTGCTTTAAGTAATTGATTGATTACTGTATATAGAATCAACTGTAAAAATAAGAAAAAAACACATTGTTAAAAGTATGATATCTATAGCAGCACTGTTTGTCACTGTAGTCTCCGTAGCTTAAGGCACACCTCCACATATACCATTTAAGCTAAAGCAACTTTTCATTAATTCAACAAAGGAAGCAACCATTTCTGCACTGTATTTAGCTAGAGAAATAGTGAATTGTGAACATCAGGCTTCCACTGCCCAGACTGCTTTATTTCAGCAGTTATATCATTTAAATGTATTTAATTTAGTTGCAGAGATTTACATTTCATATTAACAAATACATCCTACCTTTGCCTATAGATCACTCTGTTCTGCACTATTCAGCATTATTGCTTATCCACCCCTTTCCTACAGTATGTTGGATAATTCTACCCTGACAAATCTGGAGAGGACCAAAAAAAAAAAAAAAAAAAAAAAAATCTGCAAGGCACAAAGCAATGAAATGATTACAAGATAATATGGAAGTATGTTCACACACACATCTGTAACTGTAAAGCATTATTAGAAGTGCAAAAATCATTGATTTGTACACAGAAGTTCAAGATCGAGAGCTTTCACCACAGATTTTAAAACTGAACTGAGTTCTTTCTTGCCTCGTTTGCTCATTTACAGATAAACGACATTCTTTAAGTTTTTGGAATCTGCATCACTAAAATGTTTATCCTTGAAATGCATTCCTACTCTTCTTTAAGTATTTTTTTACTTACAATTAAAAAAAAAAATTCCTTAAGGCAGACAGCACATTTACCTCAGTAGCTTCCTCTTCTTCGTGGACTCAGCGGGGGCTCGGGGGGCCTTGCCTGCCTGTTTCCCAGGGGTGCGTAGAAGGGCCTGTGCAGACTTCAGCCATTCGCTGGCCGGTCGTGCCATAACATCCCCCATGTCCGCTCCCGACCATGACTGTAATCTCTTAGTGGATCCTGAAGTAGTGGTCACTAGGACTGTCTCTCCTCCCATGTTGTCGTTATCGGATGAATAATCAGAAATTTCTGTCAAAGTTGTCTAAACAAATAAAAATATAAAGCTATTTAAACAGAGTGCTACATAAGTACAGGTTTATTTAGGCAGTTATTTATGTTTCCTAGTAATCCATAAATTGAATGCCAATTCATTAATATAATTTAAACAACTTCACTGTAAATGCATATTAATCTTTTCTAAGTCAACATGAACTCCTGAATATAAGGACCATCTCTTGAGGGACAACTGAGATCAGTAACATTTGTTTTTTCAAACAACTAGATCTGGAGAATTTATCAAAATGATAAGCCAATGTTTATCAGAAAAAGTTTCCAGACAGGTCAGGATTAAAGCAAGTTTTCAGGACAGCAGAAAGAGGCTAATGAGTGACAGGGATCATGACTGGCAGGAAAGCTGAAAGGGAGCTTTCACATCAGGATTCAAGTATGAAGGCTGACTTCCATAGTCTGAATGGAGGGAAGAAACATATGCCTCTGTTGAGAACCCACACCTGGCAAATAGTATGTAACCTTCTGTTACAACAAGATTTTGACCACTGGCCTTCACCCATGTTCACCAGACCTATAGCTTCCCAAGAAGGTTTCAGAAGTTGAGCATAAGCTATCGGGACGCATCCAGGTAGCTCCAGGAAGGATGGATTAGTGGCCAGGAGCCAGGCCCACGAGCAAGCAGGGCTCATAAAACCTCACTGGAACTCTTCTCCCAGAATCTCACAGGACACACTGAACTCATCCCACTAAAGGAGGGATGAGAGGAGAGGATGAGAAGGCCCAAAAACAAGTCTGCAAAGAGATGTGGAAGGCTGAGAAGAGGGCTGGTAGGGAAAATTCACCTGCTTTGGCTCAGCTTGTTTTACTCTACTCTAGGGCTGACACACAAGCAGGGCAAGGAACTCTAAGGTGAGCTCTGCACAGTTACGTACATTATCCTCTCTTGACCCAGTATTTCTTAAAGTACTAAGTATTGAGCAAGAATACTTGAAAAGTGGAATTTTAGCTAGTACAGAATGAAATGAACTAGAACTCTGAAATAGGCAGAAGACAGAAACATGAGCTGGACTCAGTCTTCATGAGCTAGCTGGAAAAAAACCCACTCTCTACAAGTTCTGGTGGGGTGAGCATGGTAACAGTCCCATCACTGGGACCACCAGCATTAGCTGCTCAGCTCAGGGGGGCTTGCACAAAACTCTTCTAACAAGAAGAGGCAAGTTAAGTAACTCAGACTGATCCTTGAAAGAACAAAAACCCAATGTAAAACATTAGGTTCATATTATCAACAGGGAACTGGAAAAACCCAAAGACTGACTTCACTCCAGATCATGCTGCCCTGATCACAATAGGTCCTGGAAAAAATTAGCCTGTTCAGCTGGTCTAACACAGTAAGCAGCTCTCCACACAGGTTGTCTGACAACTGGCTCAGATAAAGACTTTAAAGATAAAAGAAGGGAGGGAGGGAAAACACTGCATTCACTAATGCTGTTGTATGTTATTAATTAGTGTAATCAACTGAAACCAACATTTCTTGACTGAGCACCAAAATGAGTTCAGCTCTTGCCAGTTCTTTAATACATTCTTCACATAAATGACGAGACACTATGTTCATGTTCTGAGAGCTCACCTAAGTACTCTGGAAATTGGAAGGACCTTTTAAAGTTATCCAGAGAAGGAGAATAGCTAAAAGAATGTAATTAATATCATCCTGGTTTAAACACAACACAGTCAACATTCGTCCCTTGGCAACAATATTTCTCTGAAAACAAACTCCTTCCACATTGGAAAAGAGCCAGAAATCGAAGGTTTCAAAGAGTACGAAAGCAGTAAGCAAGCACTTCATTCTTAAAACACCATTCTGATGCACTGTTTTACTTTAGGAATGCTTCAATTTTGCCCAAATCACTACAATATCCACTGCACCTAAAAAAAAAGGATGTAAACCTGAAGTTCTTTGAGCAAGTAAACTGCAAATGAGGAAAACTCTTGGCCTGTGCTTCAAGTTAAGCACATGTTTTTTATCCCACTGACTGTTGTAAAAGTTACAAAGCTTTTCTAAGGTTGTCTAATAAATAATTTAATTCTTCTGCTAATATTTATTATTGTATACTTGTTTAGACTTAATGTCCCCAAGGAAACCATAGTTTGTGGTTTTTGTTTTGTTTGCTTGTTAATAGTTTTGCTGGGTGGTTTGTTGATTTTGTTTTTGTTTGGTTTTTTTTTAATTGGTCAGTTGGAAATTTTTCTTTAAAGAAGAGGAAGCTATAAAAATGGAGAAAACCAAAAATTCAATCTTCCAATTCCGTACATTATTTAACTGTAGCCACCATCAGAAATAAAAGTCTGAAGAGAAAAATATTTTCAAAACATACAAACATGATTTTTCAAGTACCCAGTAAATAAGCTGGCACTACCACCAACATTATGGTGGACAGTTTGAAAAAAAAAAAATAATTCTTAGGTTCACTTTAAAACAATCATTGATAAATAGTGAATAAATTGTTTATCCATTATTAGTATCTTAAACATCATGAAGCTGAATTTTCAAGAGTTGTGGGGTTTTTTTTTCTAAATAATAACCCCACTAATATCACCAAGAGTTTCTGAAGAGTATCACTGCTAAGCACAGAGAAGTGTCAAATTAAAAGTAGTCAACTTTTCCACATTGCTTATTATTTCAAAGTACAGTAATTTCTGGTTATGATGGCTGAAGGTACAAAGCTCACCACTACACACATGCTCAGCTTCTGCACCTTAATAGCTTCCTCCAACCCCTGAGCCCAATCTAAGCATTCCCTTTCTGGGGTTTTCCATGACTGTCTCCCATACATCCCAATCACTCCAAATACTTGGTCTAGACTGCTCACTAACATTTACCTTTCTTTTCCAATTATGACCTTGTCACAACACCCTCTGTATCATGTTAACCTCTCTACTATGTTCAAGGGCTGAGTGGAAAAAAAATGCAGGGGCTGACCTCAATCTTTCTCTCACTGAAATGACAAGCTTCGTTCATTTTGTTCACTTTGAAATAAATCTATTTGCTCTGTGACTGGTTTCATTTGAAATGTTCTAAATGCTCCCTTTCAATGGCTCTTTCTTTTAAGGAAAAATTACTTTAGTATAAATGCACGGAATACTGTCATTTTTTCTGCTAAGATTTGGTTACAGGAAAACAAGTCAGTGAGTACTACAGCTGAGCATCTAGGACCCTCCATTTTAAAGATAAGTATGTTTAAATCAAAATGCATCAAGAGAGCTCTCAAGATCCAATTTACGATGCATTTTTGACAGCACTCACCAGTACTAAAGTAGAAGATGGTACAAATGTAAAAATAGAAACTAGAATAAGAAACAGCAAATATCTCCCCCTGACTAAACAGTGGAGATTGCTAAAGAATGTATGATTACCTGTGTCAATTTAAATTCATTTAAAAAAAAAAAAAAATCACAAAAACAACCACAACAGAAATGGCCAAATCCTGACCTAAGTTATTCAAAGGCAAAACTCTTCACTTCTGTGAAATGAAGACAGCATTCTGTAAGCACGCAGATTTTTCATGCAGGCAGCACAGAAGATACCGTGCTGTTACTTCTGTGACCAAGTACTCCCTCCCTTACCCACAAGAGATCTGCTTTAGCTACCTGTTGCTTCTCCTTGAACACTGTATGAGTTCTTTGGGAGTACCTTTGCACTCTGCACAGCCTTTGCCTCTAAAAGGTCTGAAAAAATTACCTTTTCACTTCAATAACAATAGAAACAAGAAATACCTGTATTTGATCACTTTAATAAGCACTCAATATTTCTTACCAATAAAACAGCAGTAAGTTAATATGAGAAGTGTTAAATTTCCATTTGAAGTTTACAGCTTCAGCATAGAAAGCAGAACTGTACAAAACTTTCTGTACAAAAAGTAAGCTAACATACAAGTTCTATTAAAAAACACAGTGATTACTAATTAAAGGCAAGAAGATGAGCAGTTGGGACAGTTTCTCATCTCCCTTGGCTCTCCTCCCAAGATTTTTCTGTGGAAAAATGTCAGTATATACACGAAACTTTTGTATAGGTTAAACATTTTCACTTGTTCAGTCATTGTACATTTAGAAAACGTTGTAAATCTTTCCCAGTTGGTATGAAGATACTTTGCAGGTATGATGCTCAATGAAAGCTCACAGATATTCTGAACAAGTTCATCAGCTGAAACTAAGATGGTTCAGCATGCTGCAAGTATGTCTGAATCTCAAATTCCATATAGACACTGAAATAACTTTTTACAGATGGAAGTCTCTTAGCCTGTCATTTCCTTCCCTAAAAATAATAAATTTCTTCCCTCCTATTATCTTACTACAGCTTAGCTCAAATAGCAGAAGAACTAACAGGGTTTCTCAGATGGCACCCTTAGGGAACCAAGCTTTCTCAAGGTCACAGAGCCAAGTTATGTCAGAAATAGTATTTGAGAGTTTCAGACTTTGATCACTGTATATACAGAGGAAAATTAATCTTGTGGCATTTCCTTTCCTACTTGTCCTTTCACATATCTTTGCCTCTAACTCTGGAAGCATTTTCTCTTATTCCCTGCCTGCTCTCTCATGAACTATCTTTTTCTCTTTTCTGATTCCCTTACTCTTTCCTAACTGCCCTCTCATGACAGCTCTCAAGATGGGTGGAAGTCGACTGGTATTAACAAACACACAGAGCCAACTATCCTACCACCCCTTCTTTTATACAGTTTTCCTTTCTGATGGAGCAATGCTACATTTGCACTACTGGTACTCCTCGTTGCCATGCATGTAAAGGGATTATAATGGAGCAAACTTCTACCCCAGGGAGGTAGTTACAGGTTGCAAGGAGATTTTGTATCTTGCATGGTACTCTCCAAAAAACAGAGCAAGCAGAAAGCCACTGGATTTGCTACAATGAATATTCACAAGCATAAATCACCAGTGCAGTATGTCAAAGGCCCAGGCCATGGTAATGAATGTTTTAAGCTAACTCCACCAGAAGCTGGCGTGCAGGATTATAGGGAGTAG